GCACACACTGGCCCAGCTAACCAATCACAGCACATTTCGTATTTCAGAAGGCGGGCCTTCATTTGATACAGGAACTATTGGAGCCGTTCATGCCAGACTGGGGAGAGAAGTGTTGTAATAATGTAAAATATGTGAAAAATAATGTGTTTTTCGAACAACCTAGTTTGAGAGCCTGTTCTAGTACACCCCCAAAACAAAACCAAGACTTTGTAAAAGAGCATAATAGGACCCCTTTAATATAGGTTTTAAACCAATGTAATATGTTGTCAGAAAGGCCTACCAATTTTTCGAAACGATTTATTAAAATATCATGGTCGATTGTGTCGAATGCCGCACTCAAGTCTAAAAGGATAAGAACTGAAACTTTATCGAAATTAACTCTAAGATCACTTGTTATTTATATAAGAGCAGTTTCGGTACTGTTGTACTTTCTATAGCCAGACTGAAACTCTTCCATAATTTGATTTTCTTCAAGAAAAGATTTTATTTGTGTTGCGACCACCTTTTCAAGTACTTTACTAATAAATGGGAGATTAGATATCGGTCTATAATTAGCCAAATAATTTATTTATATGCACTAAATTTACAACGCTTAATACAATCAGCAATATTTAAGGAACTTAATGGCTATTCAGACATCTAGTAAATTTATTTTAATGATCAGAACTGTATGAGCGTTTTTAATTCTGTAAAATACTTTTGGATGGACAGAAATTCTGATCACAAATTCTACATACAGGTTTCGAAGATATTTTTGGTGTTTTATTTGAATGTCTGTTTTTCCATAGCAGTCTATTATTGTGGTTCAATCTATTTCAGATGTTCATCTGCCCCAAAACAACAGGTTAAAACAAGCTAACTGTGGTTAGTCACTTCACACATCAGTCAGACTGAATGCTCCTGTGCAAGTAGGTGGTTTTTGGTCAGAATAAACTGCAGTGTGGTGCAGATCATTCTGTGTTACCTGCTCCACGTGACGTTTTGCGGCAACGGGTTTCCTTTAACCACACATTTGAGCTCAGATCCCGAGTGTCCGATTCTCCAGGAACCAGAATCAGCAATCAATGCATCAGGAGGATCTGAAGCACAAACACAGGCTCATTATCAACTAAAACTATACATATAAAAAATATTTTTATCACCTGAAATAAAATGAACATTAACGCAAATAAAATAAGATATATTATTATATATTATTATTTTTATTTATATATATATATATATTTAAGTAATAAATGGAAAGCAAGTTAAATTGAAATATTTTTCTTTTCTTGCTGATCCGTAAAATGATCCGAATCGTGAGATTTGTGATCCGTTGAACCACTAATAGACATATGAAAAAACTAATAAAAATCCCACAAACAAAAAAAAAAACACTAAAACTTTAATGAAGATTACAATAAAAACAGAAAATATCAAAATAAAAATAATGCAAAGTACTAATAATAACTATAACAGTATTTCACAGATACAAAAATAACACTGTAACAGGTTTATTATCATTAACTAAAACCATAAGTTCATTACTTGAAATAAAATGAGCATTAAAATTAAAATAATTAATTTAAAAAATCTAATAAAAATGACAAAAACTCACATCAAAATCACTCAAATTTTAACTACAAATTAAAATGAAAAATAAAAATAAACTTTAAAGGCACACTGGCACAAAATGTATGTAATACATTTGTACAGTATGTAATTTTCGCTGCTAGAGGGCGCATATTCAAAACAAACAAAGAAACAAAGGCGTAGTTTGATGGCACCGTGACTGAGTGTGGAATCATGGGCAGAAATCATGTTCATGGATGAGCAAACGTATTAAAAACATATTAACGTCACTGTAGTATGAAGCAGGGTGGGGCTGAAAGCTGTGGAAGCGGAAAACAGCGGAGCTTTTATTATGCCACAGTCGACCGCTTTTGCTCCTTCCGCTCATGCGAATGTGGGGTAAAGCAGCGCTGTTTTATCATACTAGATACATTTGAGTGTGTTGAAAGTGCTGTTATAATCAGGGGTGCACATAAGTGGTACGCAGGTGCGCATGCGCGACCAAAATAAAAAATGTGCTGTGTAAAGAAGTTCTGACAGCGCATTTGTGTACCGACATGGTTGACAGCTGTTAACGCACAATTACCATTTTAGATCAACAAACTGTAATACTGTATAAGATTTCTATTCAAACTGAATAGTTAAATAAATCTACGCTACCCGCTGCCATTTTCAAAGCACAATGCAAAACTGTGACATTTCATTCACGGCAGCGCTAAACCCGGAAAAGCATATACTTACTTGCTGGCAACCCGACAAAATAAAAGCCTGCTGATTTTAAGTTTGAAAATGATGAAAATTCATCTTTAAAAAAAGAAAATATTAGCATTTTATTTTTAAGTTTACTATAAAATAGTTGTATTTGTATTTAATACTCCCTTTTTATTTTAAAATATAATAGTATTATCACACTTTATTATTTTATAAAAAAAAAACTAAATAAATAAATTGCACCAATATCATCACTACAATTAATTCATTTTTTTATAGTTGTATTTAATGGGTTATGCACTATGTGCAGTGTGAGGACCAAACCAAATCTCCAGGTTCTCTTATGAGAACCAGGCTGAAAAACGTATGTGCTCTCCTGGTTAGAATGCTACTCTGTGTGTTCGTCACCTGTCTAATAAAATGCATAACATATTAAAGCGCCTTTGGCGTTTCCATGTTTTTTAACAAAATAAAACCAGAAATCGACGGTGTATGACGTCATTGACAGGCGACGCAATGACGCGGTCCGTTACACTAGTTAAATTCATATTTCTCTGGATTTAAACATTTTTGGAAACATTTGGGATAATCTAAGCACACGTCAACAAACTATATAACACTGTTCTAGTGGTTTTTGGATACTTTAATAAAAAAAACTTACATATTGTGCCTTTAATTCTAAATATTACAAACTATAATAGTGTCTCAAAGAAAAGAGCAGCATGAACATTCTGCAAAATTTTTATTTTTGTGTCATGCAGAATAAATGAAGTCACACAGTTTCTTTATTTTTGGGTGATGAGTTTTAGGATAACTCACAGTGCACGACGAGCTCGTTGCTGATTCTATGTGGGCCATTGAGAGCGGGATGCCACACCAGACAGTCCAGGCGCCGCTTGTTCATGCTGCGCAGCGGATGCAGGGAAAACTGCGAGGTTATGACTCCATCTTCTCCAGTCCGGTTCTGCGACTGCCCGGGAATGTCCGTGTCCCAGGACAAACGCGGCGAAGGGTGTCCAACCGAGCGACAGTAGGCAGCCACGCGGAACGACTGGCCTTCCTGCAGAATCACCGGCTCCAGAGAAGAGATCGGCAAAACTAGTGAAGGAGAAACAGAGATGAAGCACTGTGTTAAAGCATAATAACACTGCAAACTGTGGCATTTTAGAACACTGAATAGAAGTACAGTACATTAAAGTAAGATACAATAGTAATGCAAGAACTGATGAATGTATAGACAAAAATATCTAACAATAGCTGCAATAACCTGTTATAGTTTGTCAATATTCAAGTTTATGTTTATATTTTCAGTTTTAATTTTAAAGTTAATAATTTTAATGTTTTTGTCATTTTTATTAGTTTTTTTTAATCAAAGATAACAAACGTAAACAAAGGTGTATGTTACTTTGTAGAGTAATTTACAACAGCTTCGAACGCGGCTCAACCAATCAGAATCAAGCACCGGAACTATCCGCTTTATAAATAGTTTTACATATTGTAAAATATATAGCCTCTATATATTACAACTTATAACCATATATATTTTAAGGCAAGACGGTAATAGATAATCACCATACTTCCCCAGTTAATTAATCACAGTACATTACGACAAGTGTCTTTTATTACAACTTTTCTGAAATGTTGTGTTTAAATGATGCATTATCTAATTACAGATGCACTAATTTGCATACATTTTCCTGAACACTGGATAAAGCCAGGATCAAAATTCTTGTTTGATTTTGTTGATATATTAGAGTTAAAGGTTTTCACAGAGGTGATTTTGGATTTCTTTTTTTATCACTCCTTAAATCAGAAAATACTGTCAAAAGACAGAAAAAATACATTTTCGCCATGTTTTAGGAATAAATGTTGTATAAATCAGTGTGAATGATATATGAACAAATCCCTCAGTAGAAACCTTCAAAATATAGAGAGGAATAAAACCCTAAGTTTTGGTGTATGTAAGTGCTGCTGAAGTGGAGAAACAAACCTCACAGCCTTTAAAGATATGCATTTTCGCCATGTTTTTAGTAATAAAATGTTAAATAAAACTGTAAATTTTGGTGTTTGTAAGTGCTGCTGAAGTGGAGAAAAAACTTTTAAAGATATGGATTGTAATTAAAATCAACAGACGCAAATAGATAAAGTGCAATGAAATAAACACTTAAATGTGTATCTTAGATTTTTCTTCCACTAGTCTGAATAAGACAAGTTATGGAAGCAAAATAGACCAAAATCTCAAAAATTACCAGTGCATTAAAAAAAACAAATTGATTTAGTCTGTGTAAAACATGGCCAATACTCATACATAGATATAAACAGGGTCAAAACACCATCAGGGTAACACACAACACTAAAATAATGCCATAAACATGAACAAAATAACAAAAATTGCAACACAAAACACCCTAATGTACATTACTGATGATAAAAATTTGAAAAGAAAAAAAATTATTTATATTAAATATAATAATATTGTTTCACACTGGGACTGTCCATCTACTGTTTTTCACCATAAAAAATATGGTAATTCATAGTTTTTACTTGCAAAAACTATAAAGTTCACAGTAAAATTACATTTTATGCTAATAATGGTATATATAAATTACATATGTGACCCTGGACCATAAAACCAGTCATAAGGGTTACTTTTTCGAAATTGAGATTTATACATCATCTGAAAGCTGAATAAATAAGCTTTCCATTGATTTATGGTTTGTTAGGATAGGACAATATTTGGCTGAGATACAACTATTTGAAAATCTGGAATCTGAGGGTGCAGAAAAATCTAAATATTGAGAAAATTATCTTTAAAGTTGTTCAAATGAAGTTCTTAGCAATGCATATTACTTATCAAAAATTAAGTTTTTATATATTTACGGTAGGAAATGTACAAAATATATTAATGGAACATGATCTTTACTTAATATCCTAATGATTTTTGGCATAAAACAAAAATCTATAATTTTGACCCATACAATGTATTGTTGGCTATTGCTACAAATATACCCCAGCGACTTAAGACTGCTTTTGTGCTCCAGAGTCACATATAATGATATCTGTAACTTATAGTTACCCAAAGGTAGAGTAACTTATAATTAATCAGTTAACAGTTTTTACTGTACAAATACATTTTTTTACAGCGTATTACTTCCTGGAGTGCTACAACACAGAGCACTTACAAAAGCAAAGTTATTTTTAAACTGGTTAGTTTATCAGAAATACAAAAACATGTTGATTTTGTAGCTTACTGCAGATTAGCTGTTTAACAGACCTTCCTTTAGCAAACAGAAGTGAAATGAAGCTTGATAAAATCAAGTGAAATGTGAAAAGAGAGGATCTTACTCCAGACAGTCAGACTGATTTGTCTCTCGAAGTTTCCGGAGGGAAAGATGGAGACGTGGCAGGTGTATGTGGCCTGATCGGCCTTCTTTGTGTTCAGAATCAGCAGCGTGGAGTCGACGGTCGGTTCGGAGCTCTCGAACTGAACACGATTCAGAAAATCAGGAGACGCTGAAATAAAACAACGGAAGTAGAACATTACATTCAATTAGAGGGAAATTCTCAGGACACTCATGTCAAAAACAACACAAAATAAACAAATGGTTGTCTTTTTTTTTAATTCCTGGTCCTTCTTTGAACGTCCTATCTGGAAATCACATGCAAACTTCAGAATGTGTGATATCACATTGCCGTTTGGTAAATGTCATTGTAATGTGAATCCACTGAAACCGAGCTCTTATCGTTTCATCAGAAGTCTTGTTTCATCAAAGACACTGAGAATCACCAGAAGACTTTTTGCTGCTTATACAAAAGCTGCAGGTTCAATCCAAATTACAGGTGACCCGTAAAATCCTGTCAACATACACACCTTTATGTCGTTTCCAAACCAGGGTGATTAAGTTAACTAAAACCAAGTAATATCATTCAAAAAAAACCTTCATCACTTGAAATAAATTACAGATAAATGTTAACTGAAATTTTTTTTTTTTTAATTAAAATAAGTTTAATTTTTAATGTTTTATGTCAAATTTTTCTCATTTTCATTTTGTTTAACTACATGTAACATAACTGAAACTAAAATGAAAATCAATAAAAACTATACAGACATTTAAAAAGAAAATGTCAAAAACTAAATTATTAAAATTTTAAAATTAAAACGAAAACAGAATTTATAAAAATAAAAACTAATTCACAAAAAAACTTTAAAAACATTTTATTTTAGATTATTTTATTTTTAATTTTCATTTAGTTCAACTTGATGTACTAGAATAACTAAAACTAAAATAAAAACAAATAAAAACTATATAGATTTAACTAATAAAAATGACAAAACCATAAAAAATTACTTTAAACTTTAAAATTAAAATGAATAGAATATATAAAAACAAAAACTACAGTCTCTATAGTCTACGATAATAGTGATAACACCGTTTCAAACCAAGTATTGTTCTTTCATGCAACCACAAAAGAAGTTATCAGGATATACAAGTTATATTCCGATCATTTCTTTTGCTCTTTTCCATTCCCTGGTGGCCGCGGCTCAAGCTTCACAGTGAAAACAGGTTAAATTTGGGTCTGTTATTCACACAAATGATGATCACATGACTTCAGAAGACGTGGAATATAGCGTTTAAGTTATATCAGCTACTGTTATGATATTTTATGCTGCATTTATGCTGCTTTTCGGAGCAACCCCAGTCCTCATTCACTGCCATTGTATGCAAAAGAGCAGCACAAGCTCCTCTGTGTTTCACAGAAGAAAGAAAGTCATACATGTTTGAGCTGATATGAGAGTGAGTAAATAATGACAGAATATTTTGTTTTTTGGGGGAATTAAAGCAATGCACTTTAACACAGATGGCAGGTGTGAGTCGGTTCAGATAAAAGAGCAGATAAACACAATGCACCATTGAAAATATTCGTCATGACAAACGTCTCCAGGTGTCAGAACACAATGCATGCGAGACAGTTTCCATTTAACAAAACTGCTGGGGGGGAATTATGATTGTGTCTGTTTGTGCTGGGTGGATGAATCACCAAAACACACCAGTGCTATTTTAGTATCATTGAGATACTATTATAGTTATTAATATTTAATAAATACTTTGTAATACTTTTTACATTATTTTTTATTTAATAAATATTTTGAATTCGTTTTTATTTTTTATAATTTTCCATTTTCAATATAATTTTACAGTTTTAGTAGTGTGTTTTTGACATTTTTATTAATCTATATAGTTATTAATTTTTTTTCAGTTTCACTTTTAGTTATTTTAGATCCATATTTTACATCCAGTTACACTAAATGAAAATGAGAAATGTTGCCTTGGCAACTAGCTGAAATAAAATAAAACAAACAAACAAATTTTAAATGTCTGAAATTACTGAACTCATTTCAGTTAACGTTTATTTAAATTCAAGTAAATTAATTTAAAGTGCTATTTTAGTATCTGTAATGTACTATTATAATTTGTATTAGTTTTTATTTTTATGATTTTTGTTTTCATTTTAATCTTAGTTAAATTTTTAGTAATTTGTTTTGTCATTTTTTTTATTTTTTTTTTTTATATGTCCATATAATTTTTAGTCACTTTTAGTTATTTCAGTATCAAATGAAACTAAATGAAAATGAGAAATGTTGTAGCTAAAATAAAATAAGTTCATGCTATAGTATATTTCATTTATTCTATCTATTCTGAATTTGATTTATTATTTTATTATATTTTATTTATAAATTTCATTTATTTAATTTCAAGTAACAAAAATTATTTTCATATTAGTTTCATTTTAGCATCAATGAAAAACTATTTGTTTTTTCATATTTTGATACGATTGGTTTTCTGTTTTCATTTTAAGTTTAGCTAAAGTTTTAGTAATTTTGTAGATTTGTTTTGTCATTTTCATTAGTTTTTATAGTTAGTATTATTTATTTTTTTTATTTACATTTTATTTATTTTATTATGAATTTAATAGTTTTCATATATTTAATTTTATTTCAGTTAGCACTTATTTTATTTCAAGCAACAAAAATGTTTTTAGCTTTTGTTTAGTGAAATATAATAACCATGGAACACGTCTAGTTCTCACACACAACATATTTCAGACCAAAATCATGAGAAAAGAAAACGAAGCCTGTTTTGAGGACCATTAAAATTTTCTGCATTGTGAAACCTGAGCCAGAAACATTCCTAACAAGTTTTGTGAGATTCACTCAACTAGTTTGTGTTTGTAAATGGTGCAAACACACACACACACACACACACTCACACACTCACACACTCACACACTCACACACACCTTTAGGTCCTTCAGTAAAGTGTCCTATGATGATCTGTTCTCGTTCTCCTCCTGGTTTCTCTCTGTACCAGGTCACTTGCACCAGCATCTCGTCGCCCTCCACCGTGAAGCGGCAGGGCATCCGGGTCTGTGTGCCGGAGAACGAGCGCAGGGCCAGAGACGGAGACGGCTCGATAAACTCACTGTGAACACAGACTGAGACATAAAGAGACAGTGTGAACATCTGCAAACAGCACTGAATGGATTTACTATTAGACATGAGGTGAGGGCCGAGGACGGTTAATAATAAACCCACGCTATCATGATCCCTCACTCTTGCCCTACAAACATGTCACAAAAAACCAAGGACGTTCCCATGCAGCGCAATGAGAGTCCAGAGAAACCAGAAACCAGAAACCAGTCCAGAGAGAGTGTGACCAGTCCCAAAAAAAAAAAATCAATGCTAAATGCAAATAATAAAATACATTCCATATTGTTTGTTGTTCACATCAAATGAACAATTTATTTAACCTTTAGACAAAATTTGTAAAAAAAAAAAAATCTTAAATTTGCATGTGTTTTTTTTTTTTTTTTTTTTAAATCATATTTGTGACCCTGGACCACAAAACCAGTCGTAAGGGTCAATTTTTGAGATTTATACATCTGAAAGCTGAATAAATAAGCTTTCCATTGATGTATGGTTTGTTAGGATAGGACAATATTTGGCTGAGATACAACTATTTGAAAATCTGGAATCTGAGGGTGCAAAAAAATCTAAATATTGAGAAAATCATCTTTAAAGTTGTTCAAATGAAGTTCTTAGCAATGCATATTACTAATCAAAAATTAAGTTTTGATATATTTACGGTAGGACATTTACAAAATATCTTCATGGAACATGATCTTTACTTAATATCCTAATGATGTTTGGCATAAAAGAAATGTATAATTTTGACCCATACAATGTATTTTTGGCTATTGCTACAAATATACCCCAGCGACTTAAGACTGCTTTTGTGCTGCAGGGTCACATTTAACTCTAAACACATGATTGATGGAGAATCAAGTAAAGCTGAGCTGCTTCAGTCCAGTAAGTGTTCATCTGGAGATATTACTGCAGTTATTCTGACCTTTACTTGATCAAAATCAGTCAAGATTTGACACGAGAAGCTCCAGCTACAGTTACACTAAAAGAGCTTTGACTGGATAAAAAAACTCTAAGTTAAGTCTTAAGTCTAAATCTATAAAATGAATGTCTATCAGCAGCTCAAATGAGAAATATTGAGTTAATATTGAGATCTCTGATATTTGATGGCAAACTTGGCAATCTTAGCACAGTTTGAGACACTCTGGAGATCTCTTGTGCATTTTTATACTCTGGTATTGGCTTTGGATTTAAGCTTAAGGACATTTCTGCTCATTTTGCATGATTGTGAACTATTTTGGGCCTCCAGTTCATGTCCAATGTAAAATCATCCTGAATCAAAACCAGATGAGAAACTCTGGACCAGACACTCGTCTTTCAAAGTCAACAAAACGAGACAGAAAGCAGAAGACAGTGAGACATAGTGAGAGAATGTCATCTCGCAGTTCTGGTTATTGTTTGTTCTCGTCTCAGCCGACAGAAACACTCAACATACACTGACACGCCACATGTTTAAAATAACAACACATACTACACACACACACACACACACACACACACTCCCTCCTTCACTTATTTCCTCCATGTCAGCCATAAATGAGTGAGTAATGGTTTTTGAAGCTGGTTGAACTAATTTCAGTAGAAAAGAATGTCACTGCACCACATAGCAGATCAATCACACACCCACACAAACACACACTCTGGGCTAACATTTAATTCTGACTCATATCCAGCTAATATACTATTTTTATTCACCTTTTACTTCACTAAAAATGCAGCATGAAACACACAATAAAGTACATAAAAAGAAACTAAACTAAACTAAAGTAAAGTAAATGTGCCCTGATTTGAATTACGAGCTTTTCTTACCCATCAATCTGAAGCCGATCACACTGATGAGGGTTAGAAGTTTCGTCATGCTGCTGGTTTATTCTGCCAATATATTGCTCTGTTGTTCCTCAACACATCTCCTCATGTTCTCACCCGCTTCTTCTGTTAATCCATTTTAAACTGTGTTCTGAAAATCCACGTTTGTCAGCATAATAAAGAAAGTATGCGAGATGAAGCTGCAGTTCTGTCACGAAACACGAGCTGGATGTGGCTCCGAGGCTGATAAAGTCATGATTGAGCTCCGTTCTAACGCGCTCAGGTGAGCGTCCACACACACCTGTCCTGCAGGTTCACCTAGGCTCCGCCCACCACTTCCGCTCTCACGCGCGCTTAAAGACAGACTATGACATTTGATTTAAGCACTGAACTATAAAGCTTTTCTTATATCAGAAATGTGGATTTCAAGAAATGTATAAAAGGCTCAGCTCTCTGAACGCACGTCGAGGTGTGAAGTTTGTTTTGTTGGTGTTTTGTGATGTAGAAATGAACAGGACAAACCAGTTCAGATGCAGATTCCTCACATTTCTTGTTAACATGCCAACAAGCAGCCAAAAAAATGTCAGCTCCAATGAAGAGAGATATACAGAGTTTGTTTTTACTTTATAGTAAAAGAAAGCTATTAATATTATTATTATTTAATAAGTTATTTTTATTTTATTATTGATATAACCTTAATACTTTTTAAATTCTATGTATATGCGTGTTCATTTATATGTATTTGTGCAGTAGTTATTTCTGTCGTTCTAATTTGATTGGTCACGTGGTGTGTGCCGAATAGTTGACCCGCGCTGGGATTTTCTCTGGTTTATGTAGTTAATTATTAAGTTTATTTCCCAGACAATCGTTCAAACTGTTTTATAGCGCCATCTGCTGGTCAACACATTGGACATGGCAAATAAATCGCTAATTGTTCACATTAAGTTATGATGAACGCGTTATTTCTGAATGTTCTCTGAAGGTACGATGTTTCAAATGTTGTTGTTTTGTTACACAAACGTTAAAGGAACGTTCCATTTCGCAAACATCAAAGAACGTTCCGAAACCAGTAGTAACATTTAAAAAACGTTTGAAGAACGTCAAACATGGGAATGTTTGAGAATGTTATTAAAGAGCAGATAACGTTGAATGAACGTTCTATTAACGTTACTGGAAGAACATTTGTTCTGAGAACGTTCCTTAGCTGGGTTGTTTTATTTAGTTTAGTTTTTGCGACATATATTTGTACAATGACATTTTTACTACTGTTCCGATCATGATATTGTTGATTTGTTCTGAGTTACATTCACATTATATTTACAGGAATTCATTTAGCAGATGTTTTTTTTTTCATCCAAAGTGACATAAAACTGAGAAATCTTGAGGCATTAAAATTATTATTATCAACGCATAAGTAAATATTAGCCGCTGTAGATAAATTACAAACTGCAGTGAACTCTTAAACAATTTTCACTACAAACCAGTGTGTTTATAATTATGATAATGAATTAAAGTAATATGAAAAGAGATACCAGTTTGCATTATCAAGCAGCATAACGAGCTGTTTTGTACACATTCAACTTACAAACAGCAGGCACCATACACCATGCACAACAATGAAACACACTATTAATCTGTCCGAGTTAAAAATATCATTTTATTATGTTGAAGTGAAGAGCCTTACACATGTATTTTATACATTAATTGTGACGTTTGTCTCAAAGACACATGCAAACAAAGACAATAAAACAGAATCTCACGATCAACAAAGCTCTGCTAGCTTGCTTACTATAAACACAGCACAAATATAGTTTGTAGGACACCAGCACTGAATGAGCTGCACGGTTTGAGAGCTTCTCAGGCCAGAGGTTTTTTCTTCCCGGGATGGAGAGTGTCGTAGGTGTCCACATCTCGCCGGCCCAGATCCTGAAGAAGCACAGACACATGAAATCACTGCAGCACTCACTCACTCACTCACCAGACAGCATGAAGCTCATTAACAGCACAGTACCTGATAAATGTCTCCTTCTCGTTTCTGAAAAACACAAGAGGACAGTGAATGGGAGAAGTGACTCTTGCTCAAGACTGTGGTGTTTGTCCTTAAGTGTTAGTCAACACTGATTCCGCTTTCTGATCCTCTTTATGCTCTCTTCCGACTCTTTTATTCCTTCATTCTTTCTCTTAAGTGAACTAAGAGGACATTATAACATGACAAGATGAACGTGAAAAAGAGGAACTAGAGCATGTTTATCGGACTGACTGAAGGGGTTTTACTGTGCGTTTGTGGGTTGCATTTATTTCTGAGGTGCCTCACTGTGTGTGTGTGTGTGTGTGTGTGTGTGTGTGTGTGTGTGTGTGTGTGTGTGTGTGAGAGTGAGAGTGTGTGTGTATGTGCTAAATTTTCACCCAAATAGGAAGTAAATCTGACAAAACCTCCTGAAGACATCCTCATTTGAATAAAACGATATAAAATAAAGTAAATGCAGCATTTTTGGTGACACTTGAAGAATGTACTATATGTATAATGCATTATAAAAGTATTTATAATGTACATTGTAATGCATTATATCATTTCATTAATACTTGTAACCAAAGTTAAAATGCATTATGATATTTGGTTTGTCTGTCATGTGTTTTCATACATTATACTTTCTAAAGGTGTAACAATGAATATATAAAAGTCAAGTCACCTTTATTTCTACAGTGCTTTATACAGTAATGATTGTGTCAAAGCAGCTTTACAGAGTCAAACAGAACAATAGTATGTCAATAATGCAAGAGCATTATAGTAAAATTACTAACTGTGGTTACAATTATTCATAAGACTATACAGTGCATTACGAGGCAAAATTAATGCATTAAAACTACATATATAATGCATCATATATGAAGGCTTTAAGTGTTACTGTTTTTCTTTTTTAAACTGTAAAAAGTGCTTGGTTTTAGTATTTATAACTAGCTGTATATAAAAGTAATATGTCCATATTTAGATAACTAAGTAAATGTGTGCATGCATGTGTGTTTGTGTTTTTAACAGCTCTCTGTGGTCAGCTGAAGAACAAGAAACAGAAATGCGACAATAGAATCAACAGAAACAAACCACAGAGAAGAGTGAACCCACCTCTGAGAAAGCTTTATCGCCAGACGAACGCATCTGAGAACAAACAACCAGTGAACATTACTTTCATCATCAGAGAAATTCAGTTCAACATCAAAAACATATTCCCTTCATAACTCAAAATCTGAACGTACAGTGAAGGCCGTGTCACAAAATTGAGGTCTTTTTAATTTAATCGTGCAAACGAAGTTTTGGGATTTTAACAAACTGAAAATAAGCAGGTGAAATGTAGATTTCAGTGTAATCTAGAATGCAGTATTTTTTTAGGTGTTGTTCACCGTTCAAAACTGCACTGAGAAAGTATTTAAATCCCAATTTAATTACTACATTTAAATTGAATATGTTGGAAAGGAAGATAACGAGGAGGAAGACTGATTGTGATAAAGAAATTCCCTCTTTATATTCTGCATTTCTTTAAATTATAGGCTTTTATTTCGTTTATTTATTTATTTTCACATACAAATACAATAAAATAAATTCACCTTGCCTTGAATGGAGACCTCAGTCATTTGGTAGAGATTCATAATTAAAAAAAAAAAGGCTATAAAAATGTTTAATATTGCTTGAAGGTATCTGTGCTCCAAGGAACTACAAAATGCAAGGAAATAATGTTTTTTTTTTTTTATGGGTGCATCCAATTAAAGTGTTAATTCAGGACATGGCAAGTGTGCATTTTCTTGCCAAAATATGTTGTTTTAATTTCTGTAAATCTTGTTAATGTACAAGTCAATAGATTAATAATTAGATTTATATTTATCTTACTAGTAAACTAATATTTTTTAGTCACCATAAAGGTCATTTATTCTATAAATGGGTGGAAAATGACACTAAATGTCTTGATGAAGTGTCACCTTTAATCTGCAGTAGAGGACGGTCAGAACAATGCCGTAAACGATCAGAATCCCATCCAGAATGTAACACACTCCTCCATCCTGCTGCGCAGCTGACAAACAACAAGATCTTTCACACAACAGCTTCAACAAATGCCATCCACGTGAAAAAGCATTATTGTAATACAAGTAAATAGATAATTCATCATTGTATATACATTTATAATGATTCAATAAACATGCTTAATGTTAAATGTTTAAAGCAATATATTATAAAGTTTAAATATTTAAAACAATTATAAATGTTTAGATGCTTAAAGCATACACTCTAAAAAATGCTGGGTTGTTTCAACCCAACTTTGGGTCAAATATGGGCTAACCCAACCGTTGGGTTACATTTTTACATTACATTTTTAACCCAAAAGTTGGGTTGAAACAACCCAGCATTTTATAGAGTGTAGTTTTTATGCACCCAATGCACACCAAAAGAGGAATCCAGTTGTAAATGAATTCATAAAAATCGAATTCACTCTCATTAATTAGAAATATAGCTCAAATTAAATTAAATTTTAATTGATTCAAAATGACTATGTATTTGTTTAATGCGGAACAGGAAGAGGTGGTTTAATTTGACCTTTCCTAAACAAACTTTGACACTTTTCTGTTACAGATGTGTCGGTCAGGATTTCTCGGGTGGTTCTGTGTCGGATAAAGTTTGATTGGATCTGATCTTACCGACTCGTCCGGCGTTGAGCAGGAGAATCAGACAGACGTCCAGCGACTGCATCTTTCCTCTGACATGACAGACAGAGGGAGAGTCAAGCAGAAATGAGTGAAGAGGAAGAGTGAACCATGGCAGTAAAAAAAAGGTTCATTTAACAGGAAGCTGTGGGTTGAGACAAAGTGTCCGAAATACACACATGCACATACACTGACATACATGCAATTTCACACCAGCGTCCTTTTTTTTCTCTTTTTTTACGTCTGATGCACACACAACACTGAAAGCAGAGCACGAGTCCTTCCTGTTTCTCAGAGAAGTGAGGAGCGTTTCAGACAAATGACTGGAAAAGAGCTGCTGATTTCTGCTACCATCACAGAGGACGTCTAACGTTTCCAAACTACAGGGATTTTCATCCTCTGTATTTTTGTCTTGTTTTCCAATACAAATATCTGAACATTCTTTAATCAGCTATAAAGGACTAGAGAAGCAAAATTAAAATTACATTTAAAATTGAACAAAATGAACTGAGTTTGTGCTTCAAATTTGAAGAATATCTGCCAGTACGCTCAGAAAAATATGCATAATTTAAAACTAGATTATTATTGGCTGATATTTTTTTTTTCTCCAGAAAACAATAGCTACTTCTTATTTTCTGTCAAAAAGGAAAAACATCAATTTTTGCAACAAACAGGCCACCAAAAATATCTGTTGCTAGGGTGTTGCTATGGGGTTGCTAGGGAGTTCTGGGTGGTTGTTATGATGTGGCTGGTTGTCAGTGTGTTGCTATGAGGTTGCTAGCTTGTGGGTGGTTGTCAGGGAGTTGCTATGGGGTTCTACTTTATCTATATTTATCTTCTTTTTTTATAAAAAAAAACACTAGCTTTCTATTTTTACTATTCTATCTACTTGTTTTTCTGTGTGTGCATAATATATATATATATATATATATATATACAGTGTTGGGAGTAACGCATTACAAAAGTAATAATATTACAGTAGTATATTACTTTTTGCTGTAACGCAGAAATATAACGCATTACTAATCAACTTTGGGTAATATTATTACTCGTTACAATCTCAGTAACGCAAGTTACAACAATATATTTTAACTCAAAATTAAGTGGTGAATTTAATAACACCGCAAAACAGCACCAGAGAAAAAATCCCGCGGGTAACATAATTTGTCTATCTTCTGTTGCTGGAATTAGATGGTTGAGATGACTGCAGAGACGGATTCTACTTTTGTGAGATGGACACACTCCTGTTATTTTCAGTTCATCGGAGAAAGGGATAAGAATGCTTAGCGATATGTCCGACACCAAACTCTCAACATGGAGAAATAGCACGAGTAAAACCTGGAAACACTGGACTGGTGCCACTAACACTGAGCTATCAGAGAAAGCTGCGGGGTCAGAGAAGTGAAAAAATACGGCGGGCGAGCGCAGAAAAGCTACAAAAATTAAGTTTAACTAAAAATAACAAAATCTGTTTTTATTAAATCATAGTCTATAAAAATAATGAATATGCGAAATATTTGACTTAAATGGCCTAATTAACAGATTAACAAAACGAAAGGAAAAGACTGAGAGATATGCTGCTGAGTTTGGTTCATAGGCTATTTGTGTGGCGTGGCGCAATACGAAAGTCCACGGAAAGGAAACCGAGATGACAGAAATAAAGTAAACACATTGCAGTTTCGAATCATCTGTATGACCAAAAATAGAGTATTTTTTTTTTGTTTGTTTCCGCTGTTCGATCGCGCTGGCGCCTCATGCACACACAGCATTGCAAACGTTGCAGCCTGTTCATTATCAGAATAAAATACAGTCAACCAAACATATAGATACACTGGTTAATTTAAATAGTGCGTATACTGTGTAGTGCAATCCGTGCCGTTCAGCCTGAGCTCGGGCCAAACACACATTTGCTCATGTGACGAGGATGTTTTTTAAGTGCGTTAAGTAAGCTTGGTTTGCATAATAAATAATAGTTTAGCATTCAAATACATCGCAAATATGGACACATTTAATTGAATTAATGCCGCATGAGAGAGGTAGGCTGCACGAGAACGCCGTTTGCTTTCAGTTTCGCATTGAATTAGCCTAATTCATTTTGGCTTGTTTAGCAACTTATATTTTTCATTCTTGTTTTCTTCTGAAACCGTTCAAAATAGCCTATAGGCTAGGTATTGTGTTTATTGTTTGTACATGATAATATTTCGCTTTATTTACCGGTGTTATTTATGAATGTAATAATGCGATTTGTGCTTATTTTTTTAACATAAACTACAACGTAACATTAATGTAGACCTAGTCAAGTCAAGTCAAGTCTGCTTTATTGTCAATTCTTCCACATGTACAGCACATACACACAGAGAATTGAAATTGCGTTACTCTCAGACCCTTGGTGCATACAGATACATACAGAGAATTGAAATTGCGTTACTCTCAGACCCTTGGTGCATACAGATAACACTAACAGTAGAACATAATACAGATAGATACAGAAGCCTACATACATAGCCTACCGGTATCTAAATATGATTTCATATAGTTTATGCTATATAGACCTACCACATTACCCTCCACTGGATGTAGAATGAGCAGCAATAAACTACATTTTGGCATTTTATAATACTTCTGTGGATATTTTGGTGAAAGTAACTCAAAAGTAACTCAAAGGTAGTGTAACGCATTACAATTCAGAGACAGTAATATTGTAATGTAACTACTTTCAAAAGACAGTAACTAGTAATATATAATGTATTACATTTTAGAAGTAACTTGCCCAACACTGTATATATATATATATATATATATATACAGCTTGCTACGTGTACTGCGTTAGGCTAACCGAGACTTGTCATTTGCGCTTATATATTGTTGCTCTTTTGTTAGTTTTGATTTCTTTTATTGTCCTCATTTGTAAGTCGCTTTGGATAAAAGCGTCTGCTAAATGACTAAATGTAAATGGGGTTGCTGGGTGTTCTGTATGGTTTCTATAAGGTTGCTAGGATGTAAGTGGTTGTCAGGGATTTGCTATGGGGCTGCTAGAATGCTCTGGGTGGTTGTTATGAGGTTGCTAGAATGCTCTGGGTGGTTGCTATGAAGTTGCTAGGATGTGGGTGGGTGTCAGGGTGTTGCTGTGACGTAGGTTGTTGTCAGGGAGTTGCTATGGGGTTGCTAGAGTGTTCTGGGTGGTTGCTATGAGGTCGCTAGGATGTGGGTGGATGTCAGGGATTCCTATAGGGCTGCAAGGATGTTCTGGGTGGTTGCTATGAGGTTGCTAGGACGTGGGTGGTTCTCAGGGTGTTGCTGTAAAGTTGCTAGAATGTTCTGGGTGGTTACTATGAGGATGCTAGGATGTAGGCGGTCATCAGGGGGTTGATATGGGGTTGCTATGAGATTGCTAGAATGTGGGTGGTTGTCAGGGAGTTGCTATGAGGTTGCTAGAGTGTCCTAGATGGTTGCTATGGTTGTCAGTGAGGTACTGTGTGGTTGCTAGAGAGTTCTAGGGGGTTGCTGTGAGGTTGCTAGGATGTGGGTGGTTGTCAATGAGGTACTGTTGGGTTGTTAGAGAGTTCTAGAGGATTGCTATGAGGTTGCTAGGGTGTGGGTGGTTGTCAGGGTGTTGCTATGATGTTGCTAGAGTGTTCTTGGTGGTTGCTATGATGTGGGTGGTTGTCAATGAGGTACTGTGGGGTTGCTAGAGAGTTCTAGGGGGTTGCTAGGGTGTAGGTGGTTGTCAAGGTGTTGCTATGGGGTTGGTAGAATGTTCAAGTTCATCCTCAAGTCTCTGAGATGTTCTGCTCATTTCATCAGCTGTCTGGTGAGAATCACTCATCTGATCACTTAGTAAATTAACACCAGTAATTACCCACAATTCAAGGATCTACAGTATCTCACTGATATTGATGAATAAATCACATAAACACAATCTATAGGATCATTCATATTACTGTAGTGAATACAGCAGGAAAGCTAATGAGAAGTAGTCTTGTGTGTGATTCAGGATTAAGGCAGGTTCACACTGCCCTCTGCTGGCGATGTTTATGTATAAAATTACATTTTATGTAAATTAAAATTAATACACTTTTGGGAATAACACATAAAATGACCATATTACCTGACAGATATCAGAAGATCAATCCACCAGTTTCAAATCAAAGCTGCAATGAGGACATTAAACGCTGGATGTGTCTCTGCTAAATGAAAATAAAACATAAGCACTAGACATTGAACCAAAGACATGAAGAAGATCAAACCATACTGTTAATGTTCATTCATATTGCCTATAACTATATGCATTATCAACTTCACTGTTCATAAAATGAAACTCAAGTCAACAGATGAAAAAAACTATGAATTATACATGCATGAGTGAACTTGTTTCACGTCACGTTTATGATTTCTTATACTAAGATTCATTCAGTAATGAGAATTAAGGTTTTACAAAAATAATGAAATTACTTTTAAAATATTTATATTATTTCTATAATATTTACATTTGAAATGCACATATTAAATCCATATATCACATTTATGTTTATATAACACAATTATGAAATAAATTTATATAATAAAGGGGTGAAATCAGGTAAATTGGGACACTTTTTATCATTGAAATGACCAATTAACCTAAATTCACCATAAATATTTAATTATTAATATTTTTACTATTACTAAAATGTTTTTGCAATTATATTATTTTATATTAAAAAAAATTAATAAAATATTAATTTGTCAATTTGTTCTTTTTGTTTTGAGAAATATAATATAATATAAATGAAACACTTTTTCATAAGACAGCTTTACCTGAATGCTGCATTTGTTTTCACAATCTTTTTGATTGTAGTTTAAGTTGATGAGCATAAAGTTTATTTTCAATAATAATAACTTCATAGTTTAAGCAGACAAAGCTAAATGAAACTCTGGAAAAGAAAGTCATGTTTATTCAGGTTCTCAAGGCATCAGTTTCACAGAGAAAAACAATGACATCATTGATCAAACAGCTTTGAGTACAACAGACAAACGCAGTTAATTTGGTTGTTTGAAGCTCCACGTCTCTCGACTGGAAACATGATGAGCGATTCATCGAGGACAGTCTTCAGCTATGACCAGACAGACAGTTTTACATTCCCAAATAAAAAGATCCACATCGAGATGAAGGTTTAATTAAACTCAGTAAGCTATTGCACATTCTCACTGCATTTATTTTTGTACACACACACTCTCACAGACAGACACACTCGCACTCGCACACACACACACTCTCTCACACACACACAGCGTTTTGAAAAGTGGGGACATGGGGTAATGTCCTGAAAAGTCACCTTCTCCTTGTAATACCTGTCATACCTTTGTCATTATACAAATTTATGTCCTCATTTGTCACAAAAACACACACACACACACACACTTATTCTCATCTTAATCACTTAAAATCAGCTTTTAGTTTTGTGCCCGCCCATGTCATGATCAGAAAAAACATCTGGAATTATAAAAAAAATTATTAAAAAAAATATGAACAAATTTCCAGGAGAGTCCAGAGCAGTTCAGACCAGCCCAGCTAAAACCAGTGTGGCAAAACCAACAAGAATCCGGTCAGGTTTGAATAAATTAGTCGTGAACTGAAGTGTGTTTCTGTGTTGTAGGGATTATGAGTGAATGAATGAGCGGCTGGAGATTCTGGACTCTGGATTTGTTCAGTAGGTCAGTAGGTCGTCGTGGGCGGTTCACGGGCGGAGCTAAACAGAAGCTCCGCCTTCGAGCTGATGAAGTACGTAACCAATAGAGACAGCAGCAGCACGGCCACGCCCACCCCCAGTGTTAACATCTATCAGACACAAACACAGAGGGAGAAAAATAAATCACCCAGGTCGTATTTCACCTCAAAACCAAAGCAGAAAAAAAAAAAAATATATATATTTTTTTTTTTACACATATTTTAGGTTCATTAAAATGTGTGTGTATTATGACATTATTTACATGACAATTAAACATAACACACAAACCCCAGATTCTCAATACTGTAATCCAAAACATTACTTACTATATTTACTCTATTGAGAATATTACGGATTTAAAAAAAAAAAAAAATTAGCATAATCAGCATCAAATATGCTAAAAAATGCAGTATACAATTTATTTTGTCTTTTAATTATGGTGTGAAATATGACAGACATGTATTTGATATGTTTTGAGTGGTTCACCCTTTTAGAGGTAAAACTAAATTATTATAGATCAAAATAAATCTGATTTCTGTAAAGTTTAAGGTGACTGTGACTCATTTTAGTATCATTGAGATACTATTATATTTATTATTAATATATTGGATTAGTTTTTATTTTATTTTTTAAAGTTTTAGTAATTTTGTTGAGTTTTCTGTCATTTTTATTATTTTATAAACATGTCCATTTGTGACCCTGGACCACAAAACCAGTCATAAGGGTCCATTTTTGAGATTTTTGAAGCTTTCCATTGATGTATGGTTTGTTATGATAGGACAATATTTGGCTGAGATACAACTATTTGAAAATCTGGAATCTGAGGGAGCAAAAAAATCTAAATATTGAGAAAATCGCCTTTAAAGTTGTTCAAATGAAGCTCTTAGCAATGCATATTACTAATCAAAAATTAAGTTTTGATATATTTACGGTAGGAGATTTACAAAATATCTTCATGGAACATGATCTTTACTTAATATCTTAATTTACTTAATGATTTTTGGCATAAAAGAAAAATCTATAATTTTGACCCATACAATGTATTGTTGGCTATTGCTACAAATATCCCCCAGCGACTTAAGACTGCTTTTGTGCTGCAGGGCCACATATATTGTTTTTATTATTATTTATTTCAGTTTTAGTGCATCAAATTAATCTAAACGAAGGTGAAAAATGTTGCTTTGACTAGTTAAAGTTTATTATATTTTATTTGATTTCAGTTGAAGTTTATTTTATTTTAAGAAATGGAAATGTTTTTGTTGTTTCGTTTCGGTGAACTCTAAGAGCCCCGGCTGAGTTACCTCCAGTTCTCTGCTGGCCACCAGAAAGATGCGCGCTCGGATGCTCTTCCAGCGGGACTCGGTCCATGTGGAATAATTTGGAGAGCCGTACTCCAGAAGCTCGAAGGCAGGAGAGACGGCTTTGGAGAGACGCACAGACGCTCGGACGCAGAACGGCTCTCCGGTGCTGTTGACCGACGCCGGACCCGACACCCAGAAATACGAGAACAACTGAGAGAGAACAGACACAGGGCATCAGAGCAGGGCATTCTGGGAAACACAGACACAGGGCATCAGAGCAGGGCATTCTGGGAAACACAGGTGCAATAACTGTATTTTTAAAAATGACTTTATCATTTTTCACTTACCGTTCAAAAGTTTGGGATCAGAATGATTTTTAATGTTTTTTAAAGCAGTTTCTTCTGCTCGTCAAGGCTGCATTTATTTGATCAAAACTACAGGAAAAACGTAATATTGTGAAATATTTTTATGATGTAAAATAATGTTTTTCTATATTAATATATATTAAACTGTAATGTATTTCTGTGATGCGCAGCTGTATTTTCAGCATCATTACTCCAGTCTTCAGTGTCACATGATCT